CCTATTACTCTGTTCATAATAATATTCAGTTACCTGGAGGTCCTTTCTAAGCTGTTGTTTATCTAAGGGCTCCCATTCTTCAAGCTGAAGGGAAATCAAAACTCGTGTCAAACAAAACACTAACTGCAACAATGTGTACTAATTAAATCATAATTCTTTCAATGTTCTTAAGACAATAAAATTTTAGATCTCCCAAGCTACTTTTAAGAGTCATCGAGTAATAAAAACCCTTGCAGAGAAAACCTTGGGAATTTGTTAATAGGTCAACCAGCTTAGAATGGTTATCGCAGATTATATATAGAGCTTACATGTATGACCAGTTACTGTACCATGTATGTATGTTATGGCACACTTTTGCCATTATTCATCACAAGATTTAACTGAAAGTACAGAATGTCTGGGCATGCCACAGGCAACCAGTAAAAAAGGAAAATGAGACATTAATTATTTTTTTACATCGTAAAAAAATTATTGTTAAGTAAAATTTACTTAATAATAATAATAGGTCAAATTTGATTCCAGGTGATAAAATATTTTAATTAAGGTTGGTTCTGAAATAGTTGAGAATTAACCTAGACCTACAATCCTCGTCTCAATAAGTTGGGACACCCTGTGCTGTACCCTGAGCTCCTTCCCTCCCAGTGTTGATTTTTTCCTTTTGACACGCCAACTCAAAAAAACCAACATTGAGAGAGAAGAAAAGACCACTACTGTCCCAACTAATGTGACAAATATTGTAGGTTGAATCAAAATCAACACAAAATCAAAACATTTTACATGTACAATGTAAAAAAAATGATTTTGCTGTTTTACAACTATATGCTACCATAAAGGTCTGATGCATCTGCCACTATGACTTGGCTCTCTTTAACAATATAGTATTGCAGTAGTATTAATTACCACAAGCCACACCTTTTCTCCTGTACTTCCAGTGACAAAATAACAGTTTTCAGGTCTTTGAATCTCACTGTCTTCTTGAAATAAAACCAATCTTCCTTTGACTACAATAACATCTTCATGTAACACCTCTGGACATATTACTTTCTGCAAAACATTTTATTCAAATATCATTCCGCAATCACCTACAGTGTATGCCACAAAATAGTTTGCAATAATAGGGGTCTTACTCCATCATACCAGCACGCCCAAAATGGTTTGGTAGAGTCGCTGCCTACTTTACACGTATTTAATATTGTCAAGATGCATGCATCTAATGTATGCAGCTGGAGCTGGACAGTCTACCTATAGAGTGGAAAGAATCAATCAATAATTGACTGATTATCCTAAAATCTAGGATAAACATTGCCACCCCCTGTGCAAGGTAAGCTGAAATAGAACAGAAACCAGGAATATTTTGGGGGCACTAACTCTAAGATAATGCCAGGTATACAAAGACACAAAAACATTCCATGAACACCTGGACAGTACATCAACATTTCAATGAAAGTAGAAAGAAAGACACAAAAAAACAGAGGAAGAATGTTTTACCCAGAGGCAGAAAGACAATGGAAATAAACCAGGAGGATGTAAAGTGTCCATGTAACATTAAAAGAGGTGCCCAGAAAGAGTTATGGATTTAATAAACTGACAAATGCCAGGAACTATTCCAAGGTGTCTGTTCTAAGGAGGTGTAGATCCCTCTTTTAAAGATATTCATTAAGAGTGAAGTGTAACTAAGTAATAAACTATTACGGTCTCAATTAGCTCACTCACTAGGTCAAATATATTTGGTCTTGTCTGATTTCCAATGTGGAGAAGATCATGAAATCCTTCAGTAATAACCAGCGCCATTCTTTCTCCTTTCCGTTCCAACAAAGCGTTAGTGGCAACAGTAGTACCCATTCTGATCCAGTCAATGTATTTAGGATCTATTTGCTCATCTGCCGGCATCTTTACCCCAGTCACCTTGGAAAATTAATTGACATAATATAAATTATAATCACAGAACTCTTTGGGGTCTTCGTTTGTGCAAAATTGTTCCCTCAACATCCACGCTCCACCTACCCATGAGGAACCATGTTCCATGTACAACACATCACAACATTTATCGCAGACACAGACAACTGACAATCAAACCAGCAAAACCATGAACACTTGAAATATTTCAGGAATGTTGCTTTTGTAATGACCAGTCACAGAAAAGATCAAGACATGTGAGCTTGCCACAAAACCACAAACTAATCAATGGGGTGAGTAAGTGATCAGTCAGGCAAGATGGTACCTAACCCTTAATATAATCATTTATTAATAATCCAAGTAAGGGTGCCCTATCTTTTTAGTCCTCAATAATTATTATGGGCAGCCTGTACTCTCTTCACATTTTATAGTAATTTTTTTTTGTATCACGTAAATCACTGTATGGTAAAAATAAAGTTGTTGTTGTTGTTGTTGTTGTTGTTGTTCTTGCTTGTGGTTTAGTTTCCCACACCTGATTGGCTTTTTTTTGCAACACAATAAATGTAACACTCCAGAGATATTTTATTTGTACACAGTTTTCCAGGTTTGACTGTAACACCTACATGTATTGTAACTAAAAATTATTAATAAGCACGATTTCTTTAAAATGCCAGAGGAAGGTAACTTTCATTGGAAAATTGACCTTAGTGAAAATCTTGCTCTGATACCCACAACTTCCTCAGGGTTGTTCCCAAAAACATTCCCCGCTGAAATAGAGAACAGCCATTGGCACAACCATACATTTTAGGCAAGTCAGTGGGCCTTGGGGATGGGGGGCTTCAGTGCTGAATCCAGACCTTGAGATAAGGGGGGGAGTGGGAGAGGGCGGTCATCCAGACCCTTAGTGAAGGGGGACCCAGTCTCCCCCCCAAAATTTTTTTGGCACTTCGGACCTCGGTTTGATCCAAAAATAACGGGTCCCCCGGGCCCCTCACCAGGATCCACCACTGGGCTTACTCTCTATAACAGTGTACAGGGTATATCAGAAGGCTTTGCCCAAAAGTCAACTAATTCACATTAAAGAGATGGACAAGTTACAGCAGGTAAATAGGATCCTGTGTTTTTTTTTGGGTGTGTGAAGGGGTAACCATTTGACAATTGATAGTATATGATAGGAGTACCTTCTCTGTCAAGTGGTACTTTCACAGGCTGCCCAGACGTAGTATGTGTTACTGAATGAATATATTAATATCCACATGGACAAATTAATGCGATGAGTCGTCGAAACTCCCATGGACTAAAATAGTCTAAAAGTCAAAATATAACAAAGCAAAGCTAAGATACCTTCAACTGAACGTATCCTTGTCTTTCCTGGCCGGTTTAAGTGGCATTTTGTTGAGTTTTGAAATTGTAGGTACTATCCACTAAAGAAGAATTAAAGGCTGGCTACAAAACAAACAGACCATCTCCACGCGCCTTCACACGAAGCGCTATAAATTCGAGAATAATCGACGAATCCGCTCCAAATAACCATCGGCTAATCTGCAGGTAACGTGTGCTCCTGCTTCTGGCTCGCTTGCTCCACAAAACCCATCACAACTGCACAATAATTGCTCGCTCATCAACAACCACTGTTGACCTTTACGCTTCGATATGACCGCATACGACCAGGTTTAATACGCGACGTGAATATTCAAGCTTAGCGACCGCGTTCGCGCAACAATGCAGCACTTGCTATGGGAGGGATGGTACTATTGCTTCCAGGTCAATCAATCGGGAAAATAATATTGATGCCCTTGTCATTTTTTAAAAAGATCCAATTTGCCCAAGGAGCACCGAACAGATACGAATCTTATAGCGGAGCTAAAAAAAATGAGCGGCAGTGGAAAAAGTGAATAAGAACATGTACCACATTTTCTCCATAAAAAGTGAAAACCAGGAAGTTTTCTGGACGTTTCACGTTGCAGTCATGCAAATCAACGGCAAGGAAATGTACAAGAAAGTGTGCTGCAATTAGACCTATTGTTGTTTTTCACAGTTCTGGTCAAGGGCATCCAACTTTTAATTTTTCACATTTCACTCACCGGGTTAGGCTATTTTTCTTAGAGAGTAAAATGGAATCCTAAAATTTTCGGATTCAAAAATGTGATGAAAGAAGGTATCTGAAAAATTATCTCCTTCGTAATACGTTAAATTGCATCTAAAATTTTCGGGAAAATAATTCTGAATTCCTCGTAATTTCGAAAAGACTCAAGTTCCTCTAGAATGGCCGAACACTGAGATGCAAATTTTATAGCGCCACTTAGAATGCATTTCTATAGAGCTAAAAGTACTTTATGAATAGCTACAGAAGTGTTTTCAATTGAAAGTATTTGAGGAAACAGTCGTTGGGTGGCCCTGTCTCGTTGCCTTCTCCGCTTAGCATTACACGATATATTTTATATTTAGTATGAGCAAACTATAAATCATTAGCTTCGCTTTTAGCCCTCCTGACTAAATTTATGTAAGCGCTGTTTAGAATACATTTTTCGATCAAAAGTACCCTGGACAGCCTTAAATGTGTTTTCGATGCATTTAGGGGGAAATCATCGTTGGGTGCCCCTGAGTTTTGAGAATAATAATAATAATAAAAAAAGATATCGCGCACATAAATTTTACCTTACGATATCTTCAGCTGTATCTTCTATTCAGCTGCATAGCGGGGGCCAGATTTTGCCTTTTTCCTGGGCGGAAAATTCTCGTCCTCCTTCACCAGTTTGGACAACATATTATGGAGTAAGACGTTGTTAATCTAAGCAAATAAGTCTGGTAGAGTCAAGAACCTATGCAAGCGGCTGGACGAACAATGTGACAGCAGCTGAGACAGCGAACGTTAGAAGAATTCGAACATGAAAACCAGGGCTGCCCTGTTGAAAACTTACGGACGGTCCCGCGATCGCCTTTTGTTTTCTGGTCAAAACTAACGCAGCGAACCTTCGGTCAGTCGATTGACCTGGAAGCAATAGTACCATCCCTCCCATAGCAAGTGCTGCATTGTTGCGCGAACGCGGTCGCTAAGCTTGAATATTCACGTCGCGTATTAAACCTGGTCGTTTGCGGTCATATCGAAGCGTAAAGGTCAACAGTGGTTGTTGATGAGCGAGCAATTATTGTGCAGTTGTGATGGGTTTTGTGGAGCAAGCGAGCCAGAAGCAGGAGCACACGTTACCTGCAGATTAGCCGATGGTTATTTGGAGCGGATTCGTCGATTATTCTCGAATTTATAGCGCTTCGTGTGAAGGCGCGTGGAGATGGTCTGTTTGTTTTGTAGCCAGCCTTTAATTCTTCTTTAGTGGATAGTACCTACAATTTCAAAACTCAACAAAATGCCACTTAAACCGGCCAGGAAAGACAAGGATACGTTCAGTTGAAGGTATCTTAGCTTTGTTTTGTTATATTTTGACTTTTAGACTATTTTAGTCCATGGGAGTTTCGACGACTCATCGCATTAATTTGTCCATGTGGATATTAATATATTCATTCAGTAACACATACTACGTCTGGGCAGCCTGTGGTACTTTGATAGGGTATTCTTGAGGCAGAGACTGTATGAGTCTCACCCTTCCCTCCCGTGCAGTTTACAATCATATTTTAAAAATGTTGCACCAACTATTGAGGGTGTTGTGACACTTCTGGTCACACACTTTATTTAAACCACACATTTATCACTAATCTGGTTAAGGCTTTATACTTCCGGAATGATGTACTGGGAGTCGTCGTGGTCTGCGTAGAATATAATAATTGAGGTGCGCACGCTCGGCCAACCCAGTGCCCATCATTCAACAAGAAGAATCTTATAAATAAATCAACATATGTATGAGTTGGGTTAAAACTTTTTTTTCACAAACACCATTTTAATATTCCTTTGACTTTCTTTTATTCGGATATAACTTACTGTGAGAGTTGTGGTCACAATTATTTAATATCAAGTGCCTTCTGTTAAAATTCAATTTTCCTGTCAAGGACGGACGCTCACTAATATCGCGGGCGGGCCTTCTTCACTTTTAGACTAATAAATTAGCATCACATTACGATTTACCTGTTCCAGAATTCTTCTTATTCCTTCTCTCGGTGCATCAGGATATGCAGGATCTACAGAAAGCAGTTTCATTACTCTTACTTCTCCGTTTGGACATTCTGAATAAACGTCCGTGAAAGTTCCTCCTCGATCGATCGCAAATCTAAATTTTTCTTTATGAAGAGACTCTCCGCTACTTGACATCCTTGCAATTCAGGCCTACTTTGAGATTATGTCACTAGAAGTACAGAAAATCAGAGCAAAAGCTTTCGGCTGATCAAGACGAACAAAAATACAACTCCATTGTGAAGACTCCCGTGAGCAGTCCCGCGTTCTTATGCGTTTTCCACTAGTCGCGTGACTCTACGTCATATCTGACCATTCGCCATCGGGCGCGTGACAAACACGAGTTCACGCAATGTTCCACTAAAGACAAAGCAAAGTAAAAACATAATTTACAAAGAAAATTTGCTCTCTTTACATTCCTAGTTAGTAATATGCGCGGATTTGAAGAGCAATATTGTGAGGAAAGGTATTTAATACAAGGCCTCTAATCGAAACTTGTTTACCCAGAATAAAAAATATATTTCACGACAGGAATAACCAGTTATGGTTACAACGCAAACAACAATAAACAGCAATAAAACAAGTAACAACTCGTGATATAATTATGATCTCGTGATCGGAACTGCAGCAGTTTGCTTTTACGGCTTTGTATCCCGTTACGTAGCCAGCCCGGGGGGGGGGGGGACTTGGGTATTTTTTGGGTGGGTATGTGCCGCCCGGGACTCCAAATTGGCACTCCGTTCTATAAAATTATAAAAAATTGGCCCATTGCTAGAACGGGGTATCAGTTTTAGGGCGAATTCTAGAACGGGGTATCAATTTTAGTAGCCTGCGAAAACATCCGTTTCTCCTCGCTCTTCGTCGCTGAGAAACGTCCTCAGCGAGGACGTTATACTCCTTTCGAGGGTGCAAAGAGTACAACAGTTTGCTTGTTAACGCATTGAACCGTATTTTTAAAAGCAATCTGTCCTTGAATAATTTCAAATGGCTGCTTACAAAACTGGAGCTTTCGTGCGTTCGAAATATTATACCCCGTTCTAGAAAACGCCTCCGAAATGGGTATCCCGTTCTAAATCAGGAGCTTCAAAATCACGACCCCATTGGGCGGCACATACCCTAAAAGGTAATGTATGGGAGTACCCCCCCCCCCCCCCCCC